GGGACTGGGGACCCCCAAACACACCTGGGGACAGCAAAACAGGGATTGGGGACCCCAAAACCCACCCCAGACACACCTGGGGACAGGGAAACGGGGACTGGGGACCCCAAACACACCTGGGGACAGCAAAACAGGGATTGGGGAACCCCAAAATCCACCCAAAATACACCTGGGGACAGGGACACGGGGATTGGGAACCCCACAACCCCCCCAGGCCCCCAAACCCACCGGTCCTGAGGAAGAGGAAGGCCGTGTAGGCCCCAAACACGGCTGTGTAGGAGAACTGGAATGCTAGGAGGGAAAAAGGGGGGTCAGGGACACCCCAAAACCCCCATGGAGACCCCCAAACCCCCACAGGCCACCATGAAAACCCCCCAGACTCCCCAAATCCTCACCTGGACACCCGAAATTCCCTCAGGACACCCCAAATCCTTCCCCTGGATACCCCAAATTCCTCCTGGACATCCGTGAGAACCTCAAATTCCCCCCAGACACCCCAAATCTTCACCCTGGAGACCCCAGACTCCGTCAGGACACCCCTGGAACCCCCCAAATTCCCCCCAGACTCCCCAAAACCCCCCTCACCTGCTGCCATGAAGATGCTGCCGACGGAGCCGTGGCGGAAGCGGAGCTGCTCGATCACGTGGTGGAAATGGGCTGAGGGAGCAGGGTTTGGGCTTTTTGGGGGGTTTGGGCTTTTTGGGGGGTCGGGGAACATTCAGGGGTGCAGGAGAGGGGAGTCAGGGGGAGTTTTGGGGCATTTTGGAGTTATTTTGTGGTCCCACTCATCGACCCTAAAGAACAGGGGCCATGCCAATATGGAAGGGTTTTGGGGTGGGTTTTGGGGTGGGTTTTGGGGGTTTCAGTCACCAAGCCTAAAGAACAAAGAACAGACCAGACTGGGAAGTGTTTTGGGGTGTTTTTAGAGTTCCACTCACTGACCCCAAAGACGAGAGCCCAGGTCAGCACAGGGATGGTATTTTAGGGTAGTTTTTGGATATTTTAGGTTTCCACTCACTGCCCCAAAGAACAGGAGGCAGGCCAACACAGGGCTGGTATTTTAGAGATATTTTAGGGTATTTTTGGGATATTTTAGGTTATTTTTGGGATGTTTTAGGGCTCCACTCACCGACCCCAAAGAACAGGGGGCAGGCCAGCACGGCGGGGCCGGGCCCCGTGCAGGGCACCAGCATGGGCAGCATGCAGGCTCTGAACACCAACTCCTCCGTCAGCGGGGCCACCACCTGGTTCCGCAGCCAGCGCACGTCCCCCAGGCACAGCGCCCACACCCGCGGGTCTGGGGGACCCCAAAACCCCCAGAGAGCTGAGCCCCGAAATC